CAGATTCTTTGAGCTGTGAATTGTTGGTGATTGTTTCATTGCAGAGAAGACGTCTGGTTTTAAAAGCAGATTTTTACATTCACTGGTTTTGGCCACCTGTGGATTTGACTTTTCTCATCTCTCTTGTGTCTTCTTTCCCATCCTCAAGCCCTGGTTTGCTGGGTTGCTTCTTGCCTTACCATGCTGCATTATGAATTCTAGTGCAAGTGGTGGGTTGGGAGGAGGGGACGATTTCTGTTGGCAGCAGTCAAAATCTCACCTGTGAAGCTCAGCCATGGTTTCGTTGCCATTTATAACTGCCAGTTGTAGAAAGCTAAAACTGCTTCTGCTTTGAGGGGAAATAATAGTACTTGAAAAAGGCTTTCTAGAATCTGTTGCAGTATTCTTCTGAAGTACTTCCCTGCTTTTAATGGCTTTTCTGAGTTATTTAAATGGCATCTGTGACAGGAACGATATGCCAAGATTCTGTCCTCAGCCACTTAACATCCGAATTTTTCTCTAAGCAAGTCGATTGAATTGTCTTACTGTATCTGCAGTGCTGAAATCCTGCTGCTGTTGATGCAGTTGCTGATAGGCAAAAGCAAATTCATCGCTGGTAGACTTCCCTGTTGCTCTGTTTTGTGAGGATCAGCTTTGTGGCTCTAACAGATGTTACTGCCATAATTTATGCTCCAAATGCAAGTTGTGAAATGGTGGAGCTTTGGCTTTCTTTCCTTTTATAAAACGTCTGCAAAATACAAAGTTGGATTTCTAGCAGGGTTTCACATGACACCGTCCTACATGGAGCTGGAGCTGTGTGGGAGCAGCTGTGTGGCATGGTGCTGCTCCCACCCCTCCTCCTGATGGAGCACCCATGTGGGTGTTCTTGTACGTTCATGGAAGTCCTGCTTCGTGTTTTGTAGTGTACTGAAGACAGGAAGGAGCCTTCATGAAAGCTTCTAAAATCAGCCTTCAAATGAAAAGCATCTTATAGTCTCCATTTTTGTGGTTGTCTCTAATGACATAGCAAGAGGACGGTTGCATCATGCCTTTTGGAGCAGTTCAGGCTCTTTGATTACTCATGTATCAAAGCAAAACCTGTGTGTTACAGGGCATCAAAGCCATATGGCACGTTTGCATAAAGCTGCAGGTGCTGTCTTGAGCATAACTGGTCATTGTACAAGGATGAAGGAGGATGAAATACATTAATTTCTATGTCTTCTGACAAGCTTCTGACAAGAGGGTAAAACCCTCTTTGAGTCACCAGCATCAAACTGATGGGATTATATTTTTAAGCAAATCTCAATCATTAGAATTCATAAAATGGAAAAAATTCCATGAAAAAAAATGGTTCACCTGCTAAAAATAGGACATGTTCTGGGGCCCCAAGCACAAGGGGGACGTGGAGCTGTTGGAGTGAGCCCAGAGGAGACCATGGAGCTGCTGCGAGGGCTGGAGCAGCTCTGCTCTGGAGCCAGGCTGAGAGAGCTGGGCTGGGGCAGCTGGAGAAGAGAAGGCTCCTGAAGGGGACACCTTAGAGCAGCTCCAGTGCCTAAAGGGGCTCCAGGAAACCTGGAGAGGGGCTTTGGACAAGGGATGTAGGGCCAGGCCAAGGGGAATGGCTTGAACCTGCCAGAGGGGGGACTGAGATGAGCTCTGAGGCAGAAGCTCTTCCCTGTGAGGGTGCTGAGGTGCTGGCACAGGGTGCCCAGAGAAGCTGTGGCTGCCCCATCCCTGGCAGTGTTCAAGGGCAGGTTGGACACAGGGGCTTGGAGCAACCTGCTCTAGTGGAAGGTGCCCCTGCCTGTGGCAGGGGTTGGAGCTGGATGAACTTTAAGGTCCCTTTGACACAAACCAGTCTGTGACTCTGTGATTCTGCGTTTTTCTGTTGAACTGATTTCTTTGTAATGACTCTTTGGGGCTACCAAATGCACTGAATGCTCCCTTACAGCAGAGAAGAAACACGATGTTGGGTATCTTTACTCTGGTAGAGCAGTAAAGCAACTGCAGCTTGTGTTGGACTGTTTGTATCAAGTAACTCTAAGCACGTGGTCCCATTCTCAGCAATGCAGGTGACTGTCACAGGGCATGAGCACGAAATACTGTTTGTCTGGTAGAAAGCCAAGTAATTGCTAGTGAAGAATAGAAAAAGCTCTGGTGATTTCTGCAAGAGTAATTTTTCTTATTTAATGAAGAGGTAGGAAATAAACCATGCAGACAGCATATGAGAGCATTCAGTATTGTTTAGTGATCTGGTCGCTTCATATATTTAATGAACTCTCACATGAGGTTGTAAATCTAAGAATGTAAGTCATGCTTTTAGGTTCAGGGATTTTAAGAAAGAAGATCCTTCAAACAGTAGAAAACTGACCCTGGATTTTCAGAGACATGTGGAAACTAGAAGATGTAGCGTGGTTCATTGTGAGGAGATGTAATACATGAATGAGGAAATAGCAGTCTCCAATAGGAGTTCCATATCAAGCTGGATTGGGCTGGGCTGCTGGTATGAGTAAGAACGGCAGAGGCTGAAAAGTTGGAGGAGGTTGGAAATACATCACGTGCTCCATGTGCCACAAGAATGAAGAGTGACAAATGCAACACCATTAAGGCTTAAGAAGAACAATTCATTTCTGTTACCAGAGGTAGGAGATGCTTGTAGTTTAAGTTTCTTAGTAATAATCAAGCCAGGGCAAGAGGTGATGGATAGAAATTGAACTGAAAAGGAATCCCCCACCCAACATGTATTGAACACTTGCTGCTTTGCTGTTAGTAGATTTTTCTGACTGGTTATCATCATGATTTGGAAGTGAAGGTGAAAGGTTTATGTAGCTCAGGTGAGAACAACCTGAGTGAGTTATTTTTTCCTTTCCGGAGCACTGCTTTCCCCCTGTTTCCATAGTTTTACTTCATAGTTCCAGTTTTTTAATGGTTAATCCTCCATACTTGGATAGTTTCCAGAGTAACATAAAAGCAGGTAAGTGTATTTACCATGGTTTGCAAACAGTTCCAGTGGTATCTTCTGACCTCCCTAAAAATGTGTTTGAGATAAGGAAAGAAGCCAAATGTGTTGCTTTAGTTGGGTTGTTCACAGAAGAAGGAAGTTTGCCATCCGAGGTTAATTTTAAATGATGGGCCATGGGCCATCTGTATGCAGATGCCAGTTGTTGACAGGTAACTTTAACCCAGGTGTATAAGAAAGGATTTGCAATAAAAAGAAATTTCTGAAAACTTGGTAGGGAAGTGAAGCCTCTCAGCTGCAGCTCACCCTGCCCCAAACACCTTGCAAGCACAGAGCAGAAGACACGCAACCCTTACCACCAGACACTTGTAGGCACTGTATTCACCATGCCCTGCTGAAATACTAACTGCATCTGAGCACAGCAAAGGCAAAGTCTGCCGTGGTGGTGATGAAATGCTTGTCAGCAAGCCTGTCCCTTCTGCCTCACGTGTCGCCCCTGCTATCTCGAGCTTACAACTTGAGTATATCCTTGGTCCTTGGCTGCTGCAGCCCATCTTCCTGGCTGGCAGCCTGGGCGAGCTTTGGAGAACAAGCCCTGCTGCTACCGGAGCCAGGCCCGAGGAGCTCTGGTTGCAGTGTTTCCTCAGCTGCTAATCCATTTGCAGTCTGCCTGATGAGCTTGCTCTGGTCGGTGCTGCAGAGACGTTGTGCTAACGCTGCTGTCATTGAGATGGCTGATGTGTTTCAGCTAGCTTGTGGGTGACATCGAGCCAGCTGTTACAGTGGAGACAAGGGCTTGTCTGCTGAAGTTTGGAACTACTTCTTGTTTTGTAACTCTCGCTGACTTGCATTAAACCAGGACGTTGATCTCAGGACAAGTTTTGGAGCTTTCGCAGCTTAGTCTCTAAATGAACTGTAATTTGTTTGGGATGAAGGGATTAATTAGCAAGTTAAGTTTTCCTTTTCAAAGTGTGAGGCAGTGCAGCTCGTTCCCCTCCCTCAGTGAAAGTATGTAGTTTGCACCCAAATTTAGGAGCAAATCTCTGTATGACTGCTTTCTATTCAGCTAACAGCACTGCATCTGACCACTTGAACAGAAAGCTTCGTTTTCATACACTTTTTTCCTTAGTTCTCATGCCAGTGTGGATTGTCACAGAATCATGGAATAGCTTGGGTTGGAAGGGACCTTAAAGCTCATCCAGTTCCACCCCCCTGCCACAGGCAGGGACACCTTTCGCTAGAGCCTGGGTTGTTCCAAGGGTTGTTCCAAGCCCTGTCATGTTGAAATACATACTTTACAATAGAAAACTGAGCAAAAGGCTTGTCTCTTTTCAAACCTGTAATAAGTACATCTGAAATTCCTGCTTCTGTCTCTGTAGAGCTGTAAATGGGGGAGAGTGGGGTGTGTGTAGTCTTTGCTGTTACTGGATTGGCTTGGATTGGTGTGGCAGTAGTGTCTCCAGGTTCTTTAGCGAGGCTGACTTACTGTTGCTTGTGAACAAATTACCAAACCTCAAAGAAAACCCAATCCCCCTTCCCTGCCCCAACAACAGCGACATTCCCAGGCAAACTGCACGGTTCTGGAACTTCACTGTAGCTCCTGTGGCTTTAGCAGTTAGCCCAAACTAATCCCAAACTCTCTTCACCCCCACCCTTCTTTTTCCCCTTCCCTGATACTAAGACTCTCAAATAATCCTTGACATAGCTCAGTCTGCTTTGGCATTGTGCTGGGAAGTCGTTCCAGGAAGATATAGCTTGTTTGTAACATTGAATGCAGGGTAATACCATCTTTGTGTGCTGTAATGGGAGCAATGCAGGAGCACTAAATGCATTCAGTACCTAATGCGATCAGAACAGGGCATGTCTTTAGAACCTAACAGTGACAGCTGGATTTGCAGGGTTTTCCTGGAAAATGGACACAGATGAGAGGTTCTCAAAGCCTCGGAACACAGTGAGTGTTTCCAGGTGTTATATCTCAAGAGTATTTGAGATTTAGTTCTGAATGTTTTGACATGCAGCATGATGCTCCTGGTGTAATTGAAACTGTTCTGTTTCCTTCCAGGTGAATCCGGACTGGGAAAATCAACATTAATCAACTCATTATTCTTAACAGAATTGTATTCTCCAGAGTATCCAGGTCCTTCTCACAGAATTAAAAAGACTGTACAGGTATGTCTGGGGGGAAAAACTCCAGCTTGAGCAATGTAACTTACGATATAGTAATCTATGGTGATACAGTTGTCACGTAAGCACCTGTATTTCAAGTAAGTCAAGCCACTAAGAAGCAGTCAGTATGTCTTTCAGTGATCTTAGCTATACAGAGCTTCCAGGTTCTGAAGGTTGTACCCTGTTGAAGTGGGGGAGCTCCAAAGTACTCTGTACACTGCCTGTACTTTAGAAACCTCAGATGGGTGCAGTCCTGTTTGGAAATGGAATGTTTTACTATTAAATAAACTACTGAGTATGTCTGTAGAAATGCTTAGATGTGCACTAAAACCCCTGACTACTTAAGGCAGGCTTTTAGAAACTGTGTGTTAAAGGATAGCTAATACCTAAAGGGTCCAACAAGAAACCTGGAGGAGGGGCTTTGGACAAGGGCCTGTAGGGACAGGCCAAGGGGAATGACTTTAACCTGCCAGAGGGGAGATTGAGATGAGCTCTGAGGCGGAAGCTCTTCCCTGTGAGGGTGCTGAGGCGCTGGCACAGGGTGCCCAGAGAAGCTGTGGCTGCCCCATCCCTGGCAGTGTTCAAGGGCAGGTTGGACACAGGGGCTTGGAGCACCCTGCTCTAGTGGAAGGTGTCCCTGCCCGGGGCAGGGGTTGGAACTGGATAAGCTTGAAGGTCCCTTCAACCCAAACCAGGCTGGGATTCTGTGGTTACACAATTCAGGTTATGTTCATTGAATTCAGTTTAAATAACTGTGGATTAGATTCCCTGGCACTGGAAGATTGTATCTTATTAACGGGGAGAAATCATAGAAAGAAGTGACATAAAATCTAACACAAAACCCACTGAGACATCCTTCACCGATAACTCAGTCCCACCCTGGCTAGAGATGGATCAGGGTAAGAAAACTGAAACTAAAACTGTGTGTGTGTAGCTTCCCAATCCAAGTTAAGTGCTTTCATCTGTTAGGTGGCGAGATGAGGTGATCATCTGTTCATCCTGACCTTTTGAGTTCTTCAGAGGTGGTTTGGTTTTTGTTTTTTCCTACTTCCTCTGTGTGGGCTGAAGCCTGAGGGTGGCCAAGAGCTGCCAAGCCTATTTTCAGTAGTGATTTGGGATCTATTATGACATAGCAAATAATATGACTGGAATAAAATGTATTTAAGGACCACCTTCCCCTTTAGAAACTACTGCTTGCTTTATCTAATGAGCATACTTGTAGCGCAGCACTGCTTTTCTTTCAGTTCCTTCTTGTGATGAATGAGAAATCAAGTGTACCATTTTAAGAAGGCAACTGAAACGGTCTCATTTCAGTGTCACTGTCTTAAGTGAGGATAAAATTGCTTCCCCCTACACCCTTGAAAACTGGGTGTTCTGGCACCATTGTGTATGAGGTGGAGATGATGCCAGTCAAATATGAAATCAAAGAATTAACAGTGGGAGCTGCTGTTAGGATCCATGGGATTTGTGCTCTTTGCCAATGTAAAACTTTCTAAGGATGTCAAGGGTTTTGTGGGGTAGGGATGAGACAGAGCACCAGAGCATCCTAAAATCTCAGTGGTAATAAGTGCCTGCTCCTGTATGGTGGGAATAACTTACTGCTCAGGAATTGTACAAGAGACTGTCACATAGACAAACACAAACTGTGGTTTGGGCTGGAAAACAGTCACAGTTTGGAGCTTGGTGAGGCAGGTCCTCATGGAAAACACGGAAAAGCAGTGAACCCATTTGGTGTCAGATGAATTCAAAGGAAACTTCTTCAGAAATGATGGGTATGGAATAGGTTTTCTCTGATTCTGTGGTGTTTATTTGAGCGTCTGTGGTGGGGTATGGTCAAGGCTTGTTTAATCCATTAAAAGCAGCCAAGCTGTGAGAGGCCTCATGTCCTGAATGCTGTGCAGGAGCTGCCAAGGAGACCCGGGTGACCCAGCTGGCTGGAGTGCATGGGAAAATGGCTGTTTGGAGGAGACTTGATTAAAAAGCTCTAAATTCCAAGACTTGAACTAATGTTTTCCATGAATCCCTTGGGAATACTTGCAGATCAGATGATAGGGTGCAGTTGGATGCTTAACTAGGAATGACACTAGTTTACAGTGATATTTTGGATCTCTGCCAGATGTTGCTGCTTTCTGTGCCTTTGACCATGTATGGACACATCAATTTGGGTTGGAAAAATGCAACTTTACAGAGGCAGCTTCTTCACCTACTGTCTCTTACCAGGGATTTCTGCTGCTTACAGTGTATGTTGGATGTGGTCTGCTTGTCCTCAACACAAGCATCTGACACTTCATTTGATAACTGATGTTTCTTTGATAGCAAGATACCTCCATGAGTGCATGAAATGAATCAAAACCCTTCCCATGCAGTAAGGTTCTGGCATTGTCTGCAGGGATTCAGTGAAGCAGGCCATTCGTCAGAGGGGAACTTCACTAATTCAGCCATATTTAAAGCCTCCAAGCATAAAGAATCAGGAAGAATGCTTGGTGTGGCATTTCTGAGGCTCTCCTGACCTTCCTTTTCCTTTGCTATAAACACACATTCAAGATCATGTTTTATTAATTGCTTCTTTTGTAAAAGCATTCCACTGTGAGTGCTTAATCATTTAATGGCTCTTGCTGGGAATTTTTGAGCTGGAGAATAAAGCTGATACCTTGTAGTACTTGGCAAGAGTACAGCTCTTACCATTATCATCTCTAATATTCTGAGAGTGCTACGAGGTTCTTATACTTGCAGAGAGTTTGGTTATAGGAGGGGCTGTGTGGTTACTGTATGTAAGATAGAGAGAAGAATGCAAGGAATCAGAAGTTAATCTCCTGTGTGCTAAAGCTTGTGAGTAGTAAACTCTTGGCTGAGTTGACTGTGTGGCTGGGGATTGCTGTCTGGAGTTCTGGCATTGATTATGTACAATAACATTTCTCTGTGGAACACTTTGGGGGGGAAGGGAATTCACCACAATTAAACCACCAGGTTTTAAAGCACTGTGTGTATTCCTGGGTTCTCCTGTCTTTGGGCTGGGCGTTCTTGAAGGACAGGAGTTGTGCAGTTAGCGGAAGAGTAACTTCGTGGTGTCTTAGGCTGGTGGGTGTGTGTGCATCATTATGTTCTTATTTATCTATTTATTATTTTTCTTTTCTAATACTTTCCTAAGCTCACAGTGAGGCCTGCTGAAGTAGGAGGTTGAGTTGGGTGGCCTTGAAGTCCAGCCTAACCTGGATTCTTCTGTGACTAGCATCTCTGTAGCCAAGTAGTGGGGGCTCTGATTTTAAGAAGCTGCCTTACTGGGGCCTCCAGCACAAGAGGGACGTGGACCTGAGCAGAGGGCTGGAGCAGCTCTGCTCTGGAGCCAGGCTGGGAGAGCTGGGCTGGGGCAGCTGGAGAAGAGAAGGCTCCTTAAGGGGACACCTTAGAGCAGCTCCAGTGCCTAAAGGGGCTCCAGGAGACCTGGAGAGGGGCTTTGGACAAGGGATGTAGGGCCAGGCCAAGGGGAATGGCTTGAACCTGCCAGAGGGGAGATTGAGATGAGCTCTGGGGCAGAAGCTCTTCCCTGGGAGGGTGCTGAGGCGCTGGCACAGGGTGCCCAGAGAAGCTGTGGCTGCCCCATCCCTGGCAGTGTTCAAGGGCAGGTTGGACACAGGGGCTTGGAGCACCCTGCTCTAGTGGAAGGTGTCCTTGCCCGTGGCAGGCAGTTGGGACTGGATGGACTTGAAGGTCCCTTCCAACAACAAACCAGTCTGGGATGCTGTGGTTCTTTTTTCTCTTTTTGTTAGGTGAGGACCCAGGTGATGACAACTGCATGCTGTGAACACCCATAGTGTAGCTCAGTTAATTTTTTGAGACCCAGCAGTGAACGGGATTGATTTGGCTCAGATTAGATGCCTACTGATGAGGAGATAAAAATAGCATCCAGCATACTTGGAGGTTAAATATGGAGCTTTCTTTGCACTCAGTAGCTGTTTTCTGTGGTTTTGTGTATTCTTTTCTGAATTAGAATCAGTGTTCTGCTTATGCAAGAGGTATTTAGTTGGGCTTTCTGGCAGAATGTTAATTTATCTTGTAGATCTACATTGCATCACATAACCAGTGATTGCAGAGTGGTTACAACAGTGTTCAGGTGTGGCTGGGAGAGAGTGTTTCAGCTATAGAATTAGGGATGTGCAAGTGCTTAAGCAGCATTGATACGATCTTGAGCTGGTCAAGAGACCATCCAGGTAGGATACATTATCCAAGTTTCTCCTCTGTCTGAAAGTTCATTACTGAATGTTCTTACAGATGTTCACCTAGTTATATTTCACTTTCTTTTCTCTTCCCAGTTGGGGTTCAGGAGGCTTAAGAAATACTAAGCAATGAGCAACGAGGTGGTATCAATGGCTGCCAACTCCTGTGTGGCTCTGAATGAATGACTTGTGTGGCTGATTTCTTAAACCAATATTCAGAACACTTCATCAGTAGTGATTTAATAGAATTGTCTTAATATCGAGGGGGAAAAAAACTATGATTAACTACATGAGCAGTTGGCAAGAGCCAAGCGCTCACTTGAGTTTGTCATTTCTTGCTGCTGTGGAGCAGACTGACTCACACGACAGTGGTGTGCAGTGCTTTTGCAGGCAGATACACCTGACATTGGCATTGCCAGTTCGTGAGATATTAAAAGAAAGGAGTGGGTAGTAGTCCATTTGCTGTTTAGCCTGTATTTTGTGTGTCGTAACATGCTTCATCTGCTTGGTGTGCCTGCTGCCAGCTGACTGAGCCGCGCTGCACATGGGTGCTCGCAGCGCGAGACGCGTGTTCCCACAGCCAGGTCTTGCATCATGCCTTGTGCTGGTGCACCTGCCTTCTGAGCCAGGTTCCTTCCCATCAGTGACCTGAGCTAACAGGAGCCAACCCATTATGGATCACATGAGGTCTAGCTCAGCAGATTGCAGCTAGATTGTATTACTTTCCAATATCAATCTGTTAGTAACAGGAAACCATTGCTTGCTGGGATCCCTTTCCCAAGCATTATGCTAGCTGAGGAATAAATGTATTCTTAAAAAGGCATTATCAGGGACTAGAAATGTAGTGGCTAAGGTGCTTGGGGGAAGGATTAGTTTTGAAAAGTGCAATTTTCTTTGAAGTGACCAACACTGACAATTTCATCAAGTGTAATGCCTGGTTAGGGGTTTCCCTGCTTTGACAGGAGTTAAAATGTGAAGCTATCCTATATACCTAGATGGGTTCTTTTATCACTGACTATAGAAATGATTTCCCTTTTGTTCTTTAAAATAATAATTGATTATTATCAAATTACTGGGATTTTATAAGCCAAACATGGAGCCAGTATCCCTCTGAAGCAGCAAAGTTAGCAATGCAATGTCAGACTTCCTACTCCTTGAATGCTTTTTGCAGTGTTTAAGATGGGTGACTAAACTGCTCACAGTTTAATCTTTCCTTATTCATTTCACAGGTTGAGCAGTCAAAAGTTCTAATCAAAGAGGGTGGTGTTCAGTTACTACTTACAATAGTTGACACACCAGGATTTGGAGATGCTGTGGATAATAGTAATTGGTAAGACGTTCTTTGTCTGTTCTCCAACAACAATTCTGAGCTGTATTTTGTATGTGTGAGGTATAATGCTCTCTGACATGTTTTGAAATGCAGCTTTGATCTTCAATTAAAATATTAATGCTTTTAAACTTTTCTATTGGCTAAGAACTTTAACAGCTGTAGTTCCAAGCACCTCTAGAACTCGACTGAAATGCTGTTAGCTTCTCCCATTAAAGTGAATGGGGCGTTTGGCTCTTTATGCACACATGCAGTGTGCAGAACAGAGTTCTGTGCTGGCACCAGATGTGACCAGTAGAGCGTATTCCTTTGGCTACTGTTCTTAAGTGTTCTATTTAATGCTATTACAATGAAGGTAATTGTGTTTGAGAGGGTTTTTCAGTGAACTCAAGGATTGTCTCTTCAGTTACTTGGGTGTGTGTAGAGGAGCTGGTCACTTAAAATAGGCTCTGTTGAAGTCTCTTAATTAAGAAACCAACCAAACCAAAGCCCCCCAGAATGAACACAAGCTGTGGGGAAGTAGTGTACATCTCTTTCTTAGCAAACACAAACTTTTTTACATAAATGATATAACTTACAGGTTTTTATTCATGTAACCTCTGCAGTTGGCAGCCAGTTATCGACTACATTGACAGTAAATTTGAGGACTACCTGAACGCAGAATCCCGAGTGAACAGACGTCAGATGCCAGATAACAGAGTGCAGTGTTGTTTATACTTCATTGCTCCTTCAGGACATGGGTTTGTATTATTGTATTTTGCCTTTTCTCTGTCTTTTATCTCAGATAATCATCCAGGTTTGGCATTCTTAGTTACGTAGAGTTCCATATAGGATTTTCTTAATGGCCTGCAGAGCATGCTTGATTTGAAAGATGAGCTTACTTTGGCTAGTCAAACATCAGCAAGCCAGGCAAGCAATAAGTTGGAACACCAGAAAACAGGATTGCACGTGAATTATTTAACATGAAAAATAGTATTGGAACAATTAAAACCACCCAGGTGTTCACAAGTGCTCTGCCTATTTGTAACCTATGTCTGGCTTTGTTCCCATTAGAAGGAGAAACTGGTTCACACTAGCAGGATTTTTCCTTTCTATTCTTTCTCCCTCCCTTTGACTAATGATAAATTGAAGTTTCATGCACCTTTATAAGCATGCTTTAGTTCAGCTGGGATATAATGGTTTGTCTAGTGACAATTCCAATATAGGCATCCTGGATGTTTGTTATGCAGCCTTCCACCTCTGCTTAGTTTTGAAACTTGATCAGACTTCTATCTAGTGGCAGAGGGAGAGAACTGCACTTCCAGGGTGTATTAGACTGACTAGATCTGGGATTGCTTGTTTAGCATTTTATCCCTGTGTTACAACTGATTAAATTTGTCAGATACTCATAAGTTACACCTTCAACTTTGGAAAGAGATATTGGGGAGTAAAGAAGAGTTCTTGCCTTTAATGAAACATTTTCTGTTGTTGTAGTTGAGAATGTATGTTTGTAATGTCATTTTTGCTCGACATGCTTTTCAGTTTTAAATGCAAGCACATGAATCCATGGCATACACTGTTTTACTAGTGTGCAAGATCAAAATGCCATTTATGTGAAGGGAAAATGATTCATTCCTTGGTTTAGTCAATCTCTTTTTGAGATTCTTCAAAATAACATTTGTCTTCCCCCCTCACACCCTCCTTTCAGCTGCTGCTGATTTCTAAACCAGTGGGAAGTACAAATTGTTTCTAGGGAACAATAAAGGCAATGCTTTAGCTAAGTTTTGGTCACTAGATTTGTAAGGTTAAAAGCTGGGAAAGCATGCTGCTTGTACGGGTATTCAGTGTTACTCTGGGGCAGTGGAGGTGTGTAAAGTTGAGCTAGGTTTCCTTAGTGTTTTTCGTTTACTGGAGTAAATGCTTGGAGTTGGTCATCTATTTTAAGAAATGAATGGAGCACAGAGGAAATTGGTGCTGCTCTTAACATTCGTTTCTGCTTTGAGAAACTGTCTTATCTGAAAGGACATTGCTTACTTCCTACCTAGTTTTTGTGGTGGTGCAGTCTTTGGCCATGTTTCCTGTGCAGACAGCAGCAGCACATGGGAGCTGTCAAGTGTGAATTAAAGCATTCGTATGTGATCTTATTTCTGTTTGTCCTTGTGACTGTAATACATTTGTAAAGGTCAACTTGCTACTGTTCATTAAGGGGAAAAAAATTGCAGGTGAGGCTTTTCAGTTTAACACATCCCATCATTTTTGGGGAGTTGTGGGCCTGTTCGAGGTAGTCCAGAGGAGGCCACAGAGCTGCTGCGAGGGCTGGAGCAGCTCTGCTCTGGAGCCAGGCTGAGAGAGCTGGGCTGGGGCAGCTGGAGAAGAGAAGGCTCCTGAAGGGGACACCTCAGAGCAGCTCCAGTGCCTAAAGGGGCTCCAGGAAACCTGGAGAGGGGCTTTGGACAAGGGATGTAGGGCAAGGCCAAGGGGAATGGCTTGAACCTGCCCGAGGGGGGATTGAGATGAGCTCTGAGGCAGAAGCTCTTCCGTGTGAGGGTGCTGAGGCGCTGGCACAGGGTGCCCAGAGAAGCTGTGGCTGCCCCATCCCTGGCAGTGTTCAAGGGCAGGTTGGACACAGGGGCTTGGAGCACCCTGCTCTAGTGGAAGGTGTCCCTGCCCGTGGCAGGGGGTTGGGACTGTATGAGTTTTAAGGTCTTTTCCAGCACAAAGTGTTCCATTATTCTGCTGCTATCCTCAAAACCATCTGAACTGATGGGTTAGTTTGTTTTGGGGTGGGGGTAGTGGAAGAGAGTGAAGAGGCAGGAGGAGCTTTCCAGATAAGTGAATGATAATGAATTGCAGCTTCTTTCTGCAGTGCTAGGATCTTTATGTGTAAAGGCTTCTTGCTTCAGTCTCACTGTAACCTCAAGACCTTGAGGTGAGCACTGTTGTCATGCTGAGCTGTTCTGCCCTGGTAACTGCCCTTCAACCTGGTGTCCTAGGTAGCTTGTGAAGCAAGGAGAGGGAAAGCACAGGAAGGTGAATGGATAGCCAAACCAGTACTCTTAATCTAGATGTTCATTAATGTTTGTTATTTAATGGAAACATGCTGAGAAACTCAGTGGCTGGTAGAAAATGTTGAAGTGAAGTTAGGTATGTGTTCTTTAACTTGTTTTTATTCTTTCATGTATGGTTTGGAGGAGAAGCTAAATTTGAGTACCAAATGAATCTGGGGTTAACGTTCCTAATCCTAATTTCTTTTATATGAGAAATAATCTTGTTAAATCCTTTAAGTGAAGCCTTTAAGCCTGACTAAACTTACTCTAACTCTGCAGCACTAATGCATCAAAACCTCTGTGGCTGTACTTCAGCAAGCAGGAAGTACTGCCCACTTGGATGCACATTGATGGTTTTCTATCCATGTAGGGTGGGTGTTCTAGTTGTCATCCACTTTCAGAATAGTCTTTTTGTTCTATGGTGTGGTTGAGAGAGGAGATATTTCTACTTTCTTTGTGCTTATTTCTTGCTTAAGTGAGTGCAGCTTCAGCTAGCAGAAGGCTTGTGGCTATTACTAATACTAATGATGTGTTCCTCTGGTATTAGACAATGCTAGGGGACTTCCTGTAGCAGTTGCAGTAGCCTTTTGAGTTTCATTCAAGCATCTATCACTCATAAATCAGTGTGTTAAGAGTAGTTGCCAGGACAAATCTCAACTCATTTGTACATTCTTGTTTAATGAACGTAAACTGCAAAGTTTTGCTGCTGCCTTTCAGGCTTAAACCTTTGGATATAGAGTTTATGAAGCGCCTGCATGAAAAAGTGAATATCATTCCACTTATTGCCAAAGCAGACACACTTACACCCGAGGAATGCCAACAGTTTAAAAAACAGGTGAGTTGAAAGATTTAATATTTACAGCATGGGATAATTTAGCACGTTGATCCCTGTGGAAATGGTGAGATTTAACTTCTTGCATGCAAAGTTTAAACCCTGCAGCGATGACTCAAGACAGCAAAGCAAAGTAATTTCTATCTCTAGATTTAATTATATTTCTTGGTGAAATAATCTTGTTTCTATCCTCAGGGGAAGAGGTTTGAAGTGTAGTATGATTCTTGGCAAGTGAAATAATTCACTGTCGAGATAAAAATCAGGAAGGGAGGAAGGGAGCTGTCAAGATTTAGGTGCCTAACAGGAGCTGTGTGTTAAAGGAAAACAAAAGGGTGGCTTTAACAGTATCATGGTATTATTGATTGTATTGTGGTGTTCACTTCTGTGTTGATGTGCTGTATTTATTAATGCTTCAGGTGATTAGATGAGACTCAGCTTATCTGTTGTTGAGTCTCGGGCAGTGGTAATGCATTGTAAAGATGGTGAGATAATTCTAACATTGATACAACTGACAGAATGTCTTTGTAGGTTAAATTTGGTGTTGATGTCTCCAGGTGGTTTATGTTTTATTGCAACTACTTGATCAGAGTAGAGTATTTAGGCACTGTTGCTGTTTACAGTCTTGATTTAAGACTAAAGGCTTGATTCCAATCTTACAGTCTTGATTCAGATCTTATAGTCTTGATTTAAGACTAAAAATTAAAGGATGCCTTGGAGGAACATAAGCAAGGTGCTATAGCTCTGAAGTCTGTTTTGGTTGCATTTCATGGGGTTTTTTGATGTAAAGGGGGCAAATGTAGTAGAATATAGACTATTTCTGAATATATAAAAGCTTTATCGATGAGCTGATGTTCGATAAGGGAGACTTTCCCAAATCAAACTTTGAAAACAGGCCCTTGCATGAATGGGAAGCTTCTCCTTTTATAAGATTGCAAACTCATGAAGCAGAAATACTCCCCAGGGCTCTGCAGTGCAGCTCTCAGCTGAATGGTCCAATAGCTTTGCATTCTCAAACTCTGGAAAACTCATCAGCTTGGTTTTACAAATACCCCTCAGACAAATGGAGCACCAAACCAGTGCAGTCTCATTCGTGATGATGCTGTCAGTTATTCTTACATTTTTATGGCTGCTTGCAAATACTTTTCAACAGAGCTGACTGCTCAAGTCAGCCCATCAGTCACAAGCTCTAGTACAAGAGGCAGGCGATCCTGCTTCGAGCAACTGGTGCTCAGGTGAGCTGGAACCAGAACAGAATAGGAGCGACAGCAGTCACTGATGTGGGCACTCAAAGGGCTGAGGAATGCCTGCAGTTGTCTATTCGAATTGGGCGGTTTTAAGGGACTCAATCCTGAACTGAGGATTTAGGCTGTATGGGATTAGTTTCTGCATGGGCAGGTTGAATTCCCAATAATGGAAATCTGTTTGCCCCACCATAGAAAACTGCCATTCATTTTTGCTGCCTTGTATTAGGGATGATGTTCTATTAGCTCTGAGGCTCTGGCTCTGATCGTCTACCTGAGGAGAGTTGGAATCAGATTGTGAATCCTTTGGGGTCACCTACTAAATATCTTACTTACAATCTCACGTATCAAGCAAAAGGGGGGAGAATCAGGTGGCAGCAAGAACTGGAGTTATTACAAAGTGTGAATTTCTCAAATAACATTTTGGTTTTAGATAATGAAAGAAATCCAAGAACACAAAATTAAAATATATGAATTCCCAGAAACGGATGACGAAGAGGAAAACAAGATTGTCAAAAAGATAAAGGTAAATAATTGTCTTGGGGAAAAAAAACTGTGGAGGGGGTGGGAGAAGTGAGTGAAAAGCTTTTTATCCTTAAGGAGGAGCTCACCAAAATGTTTAGAAGGTATAAATCAGATGTGAACATGTTCTAAGAGTTAGTGTTCCTCAGCAGAGGCAATGAATGACAGCCCGTTCATGGGTAAAATTCGGTGTGAGAGGGCTGGATCACATGTTCATTAAGAAACTCTTAAAAGGTCACTTGCTTTTTCTTCCATCCCTGTTTGACTTCTGTCCACCTACCACAGTTTGTTTGATTCTGAGCTCTGAAGGAGGCAAGGGGTTGTCTTTCAGACAGAGGTGTGCATGGCACAGAGTGTGCATTACAGTTAACAGCTGTCTGGCTAATTGATATACCGAAGCCTTAATGGAGATGAATGACTAAAGAAAATCAAAAGGCCTGTCAGGCTGTTGAAAGGCTTTTTCTTTGTTTCCTCATGGTTTTGGTTTGTTCTTTTATGCTGGAGTCCATCTTGTATATGTTTCTTGAGCCTTGCTTCTATTTGTTCAGTATCTTTAACAGCCTGTAAGAGCTTTTTTGTTACTGTGGGGATCACCTAGGGTAGATAAACACAAATAGCACAAATGGAAGAGATTCTGGGACTAAGCCCAAGAAGAAGAGCCAGAATAAAAGTGAGGACAAAAGTCCAAAACACATAGATAGCATTGTACACACTTCCTTTCAGCTACTTGAAGCTGCTCTTGCCTCCTTTGTTGCTTGTTACGCTGGAGGGATTTTTGGTTCAGCTGAAAACAAGAACTTGTAGTTCTTTGCCAAACCTTTGAAAACTGGGTACAAGGGCCACTCAAATTAACAGTCCTTGTAGCCAGTGGGGATATAAACTGATAAGTAATTACTGTGCAGTTGAGCAAATAGGAAATGGTTTGCCTGTTGCTTAGCTTACTGAGTAACAGTAACGTCTGTTCCTTACCTGGATTTACAGAATGCAGTAGTATAAGGAATTGCAAACGGGGGGGTGTGGGGGTGTGTGTGTATATATATATATGTATGTCATTAAACAGGACTGTTCTTGCCCTTTGGGTAAGCTCCACTGCAGTGTTGTAGCACCAGCCTTGCTTTCAGTATCTTTTGGCAGTCGAAATGTTGATTTTTAACGTAGCACTTTATCTTGTAGGACCGTTTACCTCTCGCTGTGGTAGGTAGTAATACAATCATTGAAGTCAATGGCAAGAGAGTCAGAGGAAGGCAGTACCCGTGGGGTGTTGCAGAAGGTAAGGCTTCTCATGGTGCTTTTTTCTTATCCCTTTAAAATTTACTAGACATTAGTCTCTATTTGAAATGTTTGAAATGCTTAATTTGAATGTCCTTTGCTCTGGAATGTTATTGAATATACTATTTTGTTATTCTAACAGCCTTGGAACAAGGGTAAAGCTTTAGCAACGTGTAACTTTGCAAGCAGATTCCTGTTGAAACCTCCGTGAGGAATTGTAAAGCCTGTAGTCACTTCCTGCAGCTGATGAGGCTTAGATTGCACTATTTGCTAGCATTCTTTTAATTGTCTTCATATAAAAACTGTGTATTTCTTGTGAATTCTCTAGAAAGAAGAATATATTATAAATGTTAATTTGATCGGCTTGAATAGCAGAAATTCAGTTTAAGGTTTCTGGAAGAATTTGGGGATTTTTTTTTTCCCTCCTAACTTCTGAGCCTTAATTCCTGGGATGTAGCAACAGGAAGATCCCTGGTAAAGAATTGAATACATCCTTTCATCTTGAAATTATTTAAAACTTAGTTTCTACTCTTAATAGAGGCCTGAAGATAAGTGTGTTCTCCTGGCAACCATTGCTTGTGCTTTAATGCTGTTCACTGGTTTCCACTGGCCCGTGGCATTAAACCATTCTGCCATCCTACCAAAGCATGCACCATGCTGCATAGTGAAACAATCACTATGAAGCTGGTTGTTTCCATGATCAGTGAACTTCTTCTTTGCAGTGTGCATGTGTTTAAAAGAGAAGGTTTTTTGTTTTCTGACAGTCTCTGCCTTCCAAGGGCACTGCTCTATAAATTTGCTGCAGTGTAAACCAGACAAAAAGCAGCCCAACTCAACCAACAAGCAGTGTATGGACCAATGCTTTAGAGAGAAATGCTGTAGCACTTTGAAGTGTGTGTCTGGCAGGAAGCGAGGTTTGGCAGCTGTGACTGCCAGAGCTGTGCCAGAAAGGATCAAGCTTTATTTCAGGCTCTTGTGTTGGCATTTTGGAGAGGTACAAAATGCTGCTGCTTTGCTTTATTTTAAAACAAACTTCACACATGTTTCGTGTCCATGCGATTGGACAACTTTTGGAAGAAGTAGCCTAACTAAAAAGGACCTCTTTAGGTGCCTTTGAGTCTGTCAGCTAAGGACAGAGTGCTCAGAGGTAGTACTGCTTTGGGACTGTGACTTCCTGTACTTTCTGAGCAGAACTTACCAGCTGGTGTAAAACCATGGGTAAAATAATGCAGGAGTGCAGATGCAAGACAGACACATGAAGAGGCTGCATGCTTCCTTCTTCTGTAGGATTCACTGAACTTACTTGGGTTATTTTAATTCCTCCTTCCTGCTTTTCTTCCTAGCTCCCATGAAAATGTCCATCTCTACTTCAGGGGCACATTGGAACCTGCCTCATGCCTTTCTTTTGTGTTTGCCAAGAGCTTTCTGGGTTGTCTTCTCTGTCTGCATGCCAGAGGGATGGGCATTTTTCTCCATTGTCTGTCAGGGAAATGCCACTCAGCATCAGTCTCTCCTACAGCAATGGGATGATAGACACAGTGGAATAAGTGGCATCTAATGATAGCTGCATTGAATTAAACATCCAACCTTCCTTTAGTTAGTTATTAAAGAATTAAATCCATATTAAAATTAAAAGACTTTTGCAACTCATTTGGCAGGGCAGGGAGAAACAGATTGTGTTAAGCCTGTCGTCTGGAGGTTTGGATATAGCTGGAGCTAGACTGGCATCTTCAGTGTCTGATCCTTATACAACTGTGCTGGCAAGCCCTCCAGAGGTCCTCTTAAGTAAGCTAAACAGGCAAAACTGGGTCTGTTGCAGTAGTTTAGCTCCAAAGTCAGTGCAGCAGAATGTTTGCCTGTGTGGCTTAGGGGAGCATAGGAACTTTGCTGGTAAGATGTATTGATCTAGTTGTGTTGTCTGTGCCCCCCTACGGTTAACACACAGTTTGAGTAAGGAAAGGCTAGAAGTAATCTGTTGGTGGAATGAACATAGGCAACGGGTGACATCTAAAAGCCTTAGCTCTGTCTGGGGCTTGGTTGGCATCTCAACAAAACTTTACCTCTCTTTGCAGTTGAAAATGGTGAACACTGTGACTTCACAATTCTGAGGAACATGTTGATAAGGTAAGTAACATAACAGCTGACATACTTTCTCTTATGCCTGAGAGAGATTGGAAGGTCATATGTTGGAGGAAAAAAGGGTTTGAGCTGGTGAGTTCATATTGATCGCCATATCTTACACTTTGTCTTGTTTAATAACCACACATTTAGCATGGGGGGTGGTGAGGATTTGTTTTTAAACAGCTCTCTTTACATTCTGATTACTTGTTCTTGGTGAAAATTATGATGAACCATAGGAACCGATGTTGATAAAAACTGGCAAGTTTTGGCTTGTTTGCTGTTGCCTGGCATGCTTTGGTGCACCTACTACAGTAGTAATACAGTGTTTTCATATCTGCTCTACAAATCCTTAGGAGTTGATCCACAGAACTCAATTTTTCCAAAGACTGGTTCTGTAAAGGAATGTTTGGAATATGCAAACTGGAGATAGTTCAGGGCAGACTAATCTGGTGTTTCTGTGACTCTGTTGTCCTGACAGCTCCCAGTGGCAGGCTGACAACACTGCAGGGAATGGGACATTAATGAAGGGATATAATTCACTTAAGTCAGTCTGCACATTGAGCATGGACTGATTTTTTTGCAGTGTATTTGTGCACTAAGCTGATAAATGACTCTTATTGACAGAACTCATATGCAGGACCTGAAGGATGTCACTAACAACGTACATTATGAGAACTACAGAAGCAGAAAACTGGCAGCTGTTACATACAATGGTGTTGACAACAACAAAAACAAAGGGCAGCTAACAAAGTAAGTTCTTGTGAAGGTTGTATCGCACTCGAATCTTCTTGCTCTGGTTTTTGGTCACTTGGTTGGTTTTGTATATGTGTGGTGGGATTTTTGTACTATATTTGGGGGGGAAAGGGCGTGTTGTTTGTATTTCTCTTCCAGTCAGTTGCCTCTTCACTGTGTTCTGGTCTGAACTCTGTATACTCATGTTTCCTTATGACTTACGTTTTGCTGCTCACTAGCATTCCCACTCCTTTAACTGAACATCTTAAATAACTGGGGTTTAGTTAGATTTGGTTCTGAAGAGAATCCTTGTTCATTAGTGTTTCTGTTTTGGTTTATATACTGCTTTTGGGATTACTGCTGCTTTTGGCATGAATGCTCAGTAGTCAGTGTCAGGGATGATTTTGACAAGGATGGGTTAATATCTGCTTAGAAACATGGAAAATCCAGACCTTCTACTGTCAGCTTTGAAGTGCTGCCCTGGCTACTTCTATGGTTGCTTATCATGGCAGGGAAGTTATTACAACATCTTTATCTTTGGTGAGAGGAGAGTTGCAATGCAGAGGGGTTTTGGTTTGTTGCTTCTTTGGTTTAACCCTAATATATCGTTTTAATTGCCTCTGACAGCAAGTTGTTTGCCAAGCTGGTGAAGTTATTGGAAGCTTTAAAAGTAGGCTCTACTGTGTTCTGTGTTATATGCTGCTGTTTGGGAATAGCCACGCTCTTAAATTGAAGTATTTTTCCTGCTCTGCATAGATCAAATGTATCAACAATAATTAGTGATGAAATACTAATTAGTGATACTCTCTTTTCTGAGTACAAATTCCCCAACCAAAATATTCTCTTCAGCTAACAATATGCCACATTACAGCTGTTCTTCCTGAAAAAGGTCCTTGAAATTAGATGGAAGTATCTGCTCTTCCCATCCATGAGACAGCCACAAAGCCATTTTCTCTACAGGACTGTCTATTCTACGTTGTCTGAATGCTTTGAAAGTGACTGTGAGGGAATGATTGAAGTGGATGCAATTTAGTTTCATCCATCCTACACAAGACTTCCCTGCTGAGCATTGACAAGAAATACAATAGTATATGTCACTTACATCAACTCCTCAGAAGCGTACTTAAACTTAGGTAAAAGTTTGTAGTGAGGTCAAGTCTTAAAAAGTATAGTTTTCATATATGTATATCCATAATATAGTGGTTACTTCTCACTGTCATGTTTCTTGCCATCATATTATCCCTGACTCTCATCTCCAGGCTTCTGAATATGGATAGCAAGTGTGTCAGAAATACTTCTCCAAGTACACTTGTCCTCCTAACAGTGCAGTGTTGATGGTAGGGAGAGGAGAAGAACTGAGGTTACTAGATGAGGTAGTCACTGTGGAAGAATGGGGGCCAGCATGTAAGGTAGCTTGCACACTGGAGAACAGTATGGTGCAGGTGAAGAAAACGTGCATGAGCCACTTCTCTCTTTGCTGAGGTGATAGTATATTAATAGTAGCTCAGAACAGGAAATTCTGCATTTCCTCCAGGACTTGTGGCTTGCTCTTACTGTACTTATTACTGCACTGAAAAGTGAAACCTCATTGTAATTTTGGACAGCAGAGGCACTTGTTTGTGTTGTTTAAATCCTATGTTTTATACCTTCCCAA